GCTCAAGAGTTTGCGGTGGGTGATGGTGACTAGCTACCTTCCCTCTTGTCTTACACTGCTAAATTAGGGACGGCTAGCGCAGATAGCCCTCGTGTAGCTTTGCGCGAAATTCAAAACAAATCTAAAGGAAAAGCTGTTGTAATGCTCTAATGAAAAATTTAACCTAACGTATAAAGAGGTGTAAAATGAATATTATCGTTTGAAATTGAAATAATTTGTTGGTTTTCAGCAAGAAAGTATTATACATTTGACACGTTTACGTGAAAGTATATTTAATATTTCCAAAATCTGTTTAAGGGTAAATGATATTAAAGTTTACAAATCTCAGAAGTAGTGAAAAACATAATAACAATATAAATTAATGTACTTCCGCAGGGTCCCCTAAAGTGTTCTGTTTCAAGAGTAAGTAAAAACCAAAATTAAGAGTAACAAATATTTATATTTCTTGCTTTTGAAGTTCGTATGTCATGTCACTCTGTTGTAGCCTACAGAGTGCATAATTCTTCTCGTGATTCATGGCATGCGCACGTTTTATAGGACAATACAAATTGAAACGTCAGGCGTCCTTTATTTGACAACATTTTAGTGTCTAATGACTCACTGACAGACAATATACTGCTGTATAGTGGCGCGACTAATAAAACGTGAATCCTCCAGGCAGGCTTCGGGCCCCTTTTGGGGAAATTATTTTCTCATTATAGTGTTGTAGTTTCTTGACGTTTTGTCGCACAAATAGTGGAGAACGATTTGTTTTGACTAATATAATGAGAGCGATTATAAATATTTAACTCTGTCCTCTTTTTCTTTTTATGTGTTACACCACTGTAATTGTTAATTAATACAAAAAACATTGACTGTGTTATTAAAAAAACAAGAAAGTAAATTTAATATTAGTAAAATATACTTGTGACCAGATTTGAGATAATTTATCTGAAAGATAATATCACCAAAAAGAATAACAAAAAATATCCATATACGTTAAAATAATTAATTATCATATCAAAACAAGCTGATAGTATAAAGACGAAGTTATCGAAGTCTTACCTACAATGTGTCGACAGTAGGTAGACGAAGATAGCCGAGTCTTACACACGATGTGTCGACAGTAGGTAGACGAAGTTAGCTGAGAGTATTACCCACGATGTGTTAAAAGTAGCTAGAGATGTTATCTGAGTCTTACCTCAGTATGTTAACAGTATATAGACGATGTTAACTGAGTCTTACCTACAGTATGTTGACAGAAGATAAACGATGTTATCTGAATCTTACCTACAGTATGTTGACAGTATATAGACGATGTTAATTGAGTCTTACCTACAGTATGTTGACAGTATATAGACGATGTTAACTGAGTCTTACCTACAGTATGTTAACAGTATATAGACGATGTTAACTGAGTCTTACCTACAGTATGTTGATAGTATACACCTGGGAAAAAGTTAAGCACCCCCAAATATTTTTCAGGATTGCTTATTGAAAATAAGGTTTAATTTTCATGATGTTGAGCAATGTTCATAATTTCAAACATAATTAAAAGGATGTGAGCGTTCAGGTGTGACATTTAAATCAGGCGCGTTTTTTTCCTCACGTGCAACTTGCTCCCTTCTTCACGTCCAATATGCACTATTTTCTCGTGCATCAAATCCGTATTTAAGTCCCAAATTTCTGAATGCAAAATCATTTTAAGTAAAAATCGCAAGAATACGGATATCAGAGGTG